TGAAGTTTGCTTCCAACACAATTAACTATTTTCTCGAGGTTCAGCTATTTCTCTCGCAAACGTCTGTTAACAAAAGACATCACAATCATGTTGGTTCATCTTTATCATATTTAACACTTAACAGTGTATCCTTTAATTATCTGTCAGAATATCATACATCATATAGTGATTACAATGACATGAACGTTTAAAAGCAAGGTTAACAGCTTAAATGAATTTTTTTTTTTTTTTTTACACATTTCAACAACAAAAGAAGAAAAAAAAAAGTTAAATTGGCTAATTATTGTCTAGAAATTATGGCCAGTTTTAACAAAGAGAAATCAATCTTGAAAATTTGGAGTAGATGTTTAAAAGAGTAGGTTTGGCAATTTGCAATAGTTATCTTACGGTAGCCATCATGAGTAGAAACAATGAGAAATAGTTTTTGCTGAGAAATTTCGTTTGTAATTTTCCACCATGGAGAATAAGTTCATTTGCACAAATTTAAGTACTTCATTCGTGTATATTAAATAGAGAATAATTCACAAATGATTACGCAAAGCATGATTTTGACCTGTAGATTGTCATAGTACATGTAAAAGATTGATATGAAGTTGCAGCAATTGGAAATGTAATATTGTGTACTACATAATATAAGCCTACTACATTCACAAGCAAAACAAATTCATTTACGGTCTTACTATTTTGACAAGTGCTGTGATATGCTGTTCATCAATAAATGTAACTTGATAGTACAGTGTATTATGACAAATTATGACAAATCGATAAACAAATGAAATATGGTCCATATTTAAGAAGGGTTTGAATTTAAAAATGAAATAGATTTCATAATTACGAAAATATAAATGGTGCATAATTCTGGAATTGAAAAAGGGGCGTTAATAACGATATTGAAATAGGGTTCATAATTCGGCAAATGAAATGGTATTATTTTGAATATGAAATAGGATTCATTATATTGACGGTTCGTAATTCCAAAAAGGATAAAGGGTTCTATTTGCATTTTCAGAATAATAAACTTTTGGAAGTATATTGAGCCCTATTTAATTTTCTGAATTATAAACCATATTTAATTTTTGGAATTACGAATCCTAGTTCATTTTCAGAATTAGGAATCCTACTTCATTTGTAGAATTATGAACCCTTTAGAATTTATAAAATTATGAACCCTCAGAAAACGACATATAACAGTTCAAAGATTTCCTATCCATATGAATACATGTACGTAGGTCATTTTCGTATTGTAATCAAATTTAATGAATACGGTAGGTCCTTGTTAAGTGCTTCATTACCAATTATTAAATTCACCTGTTACGAATAAATGTATTTAAATAGTCAGAATACAAATTGAATACATTACGTGTTGCTACTTGCTAGTACTATAGGTAGGACAAACATGTCTTGCCCTACCTAACAACACATGTTTGCATATCGCATTCTGACTATTGAAATACAATTATTCTTAATAGGTGAAAGAGATAATTTGTTCCGCGGCACTTTGATTTGATTTATAACGAAAATGGCCTAATCACATTATGTTACATAGGGCTTACCCTTTACACTTTTTAAAGGGAAATCCAACCTTAACAGACAACTATACTTTTAAAAAATAGCAAATTAAATCTGACAAAAAATAAGGTGGTTATGGATTGTTGAAAGCTGTAATCACTAAACCTAAGGGCATTTTAAATTGGCTGAATCGGTAATGTCACTATGACGAGCTGCTGGACTACTTTCCCATTTATTTCAACACACAAAATGATTTAAATATTTTTTTTCTTCAAAATGTATGATTCACGAGTGGTTTTTCTATGTAGATGACCTGTAATAATGTGCTATTCATAATATATTTTGAGTAGTTCTCAAAGGGAGAAGGCACTTAAAATAAAAAAGAATTTATTATATTTCATTAACAAATAGGAGAGTTGTCCCATGACTACAGGTGTAATAATAATAATAATAGTGGGTTCTTGTGTAGCGCTCATGTCAGTCAGATTTGACCCTCCTGGCGCTCCCGATTATTACCCTGGCTTTAGCACGGCTGCCATACGGCGCTCTAGCATTTCATTGAGATATGCATGGATTTAGTGATCTCATATTTATATATTATCACAACTCCCTTTATATTGGCCAGATTTATTTCAAACTTTCGCCTTTCTATTTCTCTTATTTTTCAGCTTCCATTTCAATGAACTTATTACAAGGCTGGGATTGTCTTTTAAGGCTCGTTCAGATATGATGCTGGAGTTGACATAAAGTTCTATATGCTTTACATTTCTATATATTATAATACAGAGATCACTGAATATGCGCAGTCCAAAATATACAAAAACATGTAGGTCCTTTGTTACCGTTCACTTTAAACATAAAACAAAACTGCAGCATTTTTGGAATTTTTTGGGCGGTTCACGTGCCATACCTGAATAAAGTCTTAAGTGCTTAAGATTGGAATCGATTTTTATTGCATCTACCTCATTCAATTTTTCTCTATTACCAACTTATATAATTTGCCACAGGTTTTAGGAATTGACATTGTGATATGAAGGGGGTGGGGTCGAGTATGAGACTGATCTACTACATAAGCATTATGAAACAGGTCTACTTCATAAATAGTAATAACAAATTTATGCAAATACAGAGATCTTTTACCCAAAGTGTTAATATGTATGTTTGTAAACCCTGGAATTCATTAAAATGGCAAGTGACATGAATGGGCATCTCAGTTCTACATCTAAGCTATTCAGGTTCGTGGCTATATCTCACCCCCCCCCCCCCCACCCATCTCTCTCTCTCGATATCTCTATAATGAAGGGGACAGTAACCTCTGTGTGTGTGTAGACCTCATTTTGGAAATATTCCTCTTCAGCTTGGACTCATGGTTTAGATTTTGGGTGGAATCTCTTGTATAATGCAAGTGCTGCTTGATCCAGGGTACATACACGCAAAGAATTCTAATGCATGAATATAGAGCAAAAAGAAAGGAAAACAAGTTAAGAAAAACTTTTATCCATTTTAAAACTAGAATGTAAACAATGAATTAAATAATGAATTCTGTCAGAAAAGTGCAGTTTCAAAGATTTATCAGAAATAAAATAATCTCTCATTGCTCACAAACATAATATAAAAACATACCTTTGCATTTTAAACATTTGTTGTCAATGCAAACGTGAATCAGGATTTTTTTGCAAATAATTATCAATACAATTCTAGTTTGCTGATGAGAGTAGAATCAAAGCTCTATTGCTAAGGAGGGAAAAGAACACTGTTTGAAACTCACAAAATATGGTCGGTTATTGCAATATACCTGCAGGTTTTAGTGATCTAAAATTAATTGAATTTTATATATTTGAAACTTAGGAAAAATAAGCATTTCGAATCAGTGTCATGATCAGGGAAAAATTAAAAATATATGTACAGAAATAATACAAGTACATCTACACAATTACCGATTAATGGCTTCAACTGTGTCACGAGGCTGCTGAATGCTGATCCAGGAGGTTGAGAGAAAGTAGCATTTTCTGCATGGTCTCACGTCAATATAGGCCTACTGTGTCCACAATATGAATCCACTGTTTGGCAAAAGATGTCAAAGATGCCTACAATTAATAAGAACAAAAATAAAGTGAAAACAAATTGAACGGTTGATGCATGTGCAACACACATACATGTACCCTGATAGCAGACTGACGTCTTAAAGACGTCATAAATTGGTCGTAAAGTGGTAAACACGTCGTACGTCGTATGGACGACGTAATTAAGACGTCATTATGACGTCTTTAAAAGACTAATTGTTTGCAATATGATTTTTGTCTTATTGACGACGTCAAAACGACGTCATAATGACGTATTTAGAAGACTAATTTTTTCAAGATATATTTTGTCTTATCGACGACGTCATTATGACGTCTTTAAAAGACTATTTTTTCCTAGATAGTTTTTGTCGTATTAACGACGTCATTACGACGTCATTATGACGTCTTTAATAACCTGTTTTTTCCTAGATAATTTTTGTTGTATTAACGACGTCATAAAGACATCATTTTGACGTCTTTAAAAGACAATTTTTTCTAAGATAAATTTTGTCTTATCGACGACGTCAATATGACGTCTTTAAAAGACTATTTTTTCCAAGATAATTTTTGTCGTATTAACGACATCATAAAGACGTCATTTTGACGTCTTTTTAAGACTATATTTCAAAGAAAATTTTGTGATATTGGCGACGTCATTACGACGTCATTATGACCTCTTTTGAAGACTATTTTTTCCAAGCTAATTTTTGTCGTATTGACGACGTCATTATGACGTCTTTAAAAGACTATTTTTTCCCAATGTAATTGTTGTCGTATTGACGACGTGATAACGACGTCATTATGACCTCTTTAAAGACAATTTTTTCCAAGATAATTTTTGTCGTATTGACGACGTCATTATGACGTCTTTAAAAGACTATTTTTTTTCCAATGTAATGTTGTCGTATTGACGACGTGATACGACGTCATTATGACCTCTTTTAAAGACAATTTTTTCTAAGATAATTTTTGTCGTATCGACGACGTCATAACGACATCTTTAAAAGACTAATTTGTCCAAGATAATTTTTGTAGTATCGACTACGTCATAACGACGTCTTTAAAAGACTTTTTTTTGCATTATAATTGTTGTCGTATTGACGACGTCATTACGACTTCATTATGACCTCTTTCAAAGACTATTTATTCCAAGATAATTGTTGTCGTATAAGGTAGGATCTAATATGGGCAGAAGTCAAAGTAAATAGGGCAATTATCAGAATTGAAAATGGGGAACCCCCCCCCCCCCCCCCCCCCCCCCCCCTCAAATGTCACCACTTTACAGATTATGCACCATCTTAATATGCACCAAGGTCTGCAATATCGATCAAGACTATCTCGCTATTTCAAACGGTAGTGTACCTACGTGTGTGTGTGTGTACTGTATACTCAATGCAAGGCGTATGATAGGCCTACATTGCGTGTGTACGTACGTATATGTATTTGAATTCAGAGGGAAAAAGCCGTTGCCTACATTGCTGACCGATTCATCCTCCTGAATACTCTCGTTTTCCCCTGCAAATATACAGTATGGGTAAGTCCTAGAAGAATTTATTTACAAAATGTACATAAATCTATAGCTCTGTTTTCGTTCTGAAATGTATGATCTGATGTCAACTGATAGTAAGCTCGGACTTGCAACACCTGACCTGCTGACAAGATTTGACATGTATGATCCCATCTATGTATTTTTATGTAGGGTCTTGATGGGATGCATGGGGCATCTTTTTAAGCAAAAATGTTTACTCATTTGCCTACACATGGGCTACATGGCTTTAAAGGGAAATCTAACTCGAATATGCAACTGCTCTAAAACTTAAAGTAAAAGAAAGCAGAAAAATAAGAGAAGCTAACTGATGAAAGTTTTGGCACTGTCTGACTAGAACCTAGATCTACTGCAGTGCTAAGTAAGATAAGAGTAGACCTCTAGACCGAATTTTCCGTCTCTTTCGTTCGTTAGCCTCTTATTGGGGTAGGGTCGGCCGGCTCTCTCTTTAGAGACGGAAACCGTCTATACACATTCCAATGATAACGCCACGGCCATTTCAAGTCGTAGGGTTATGCCCCCCAAATCCCCCAAAATGTCATTTTACCTCATGCATTGATAATTTAAAATTAGGAGAAGGTTATACTACCTCGGTTCCACTTACCAACTTGACTGAAATAATCCGTTTAATGGTCCCTTTTAAGGAAATTATGGGTCAAATCGACATCCATGTTGAAAATCTTGCAAGCCGTGTTAAACTCTCGCTGCCAGAGTCAGCTAAATCAATCTCATCCCTTCTAGTCTACGCCGAAGGCAAAATGATTATGAAGGAAAAACTGTGATAACGCCATCTACACGTTCGTAATGGCGCACAGTTTTTGGCCGTGGCGTTATCATTGGAATGTGTATAGACGGTTTCCGTCTCTAAAGAGAGAGCCGGCCGACCCTACCCCAATAAGAGGCTAACGAGCGAAAGAGACGGAAAATTCGGTCTAAGATAAGAGTAGACTGTCACACCAAAGGACGGATAATACATGCAGTCACGCGCATTCCAAGCAATACTGTAGATCTAGTACTAGTTCAGAATCATATCCAGACTTTTTGACCAGTGACCCTCAACTCTGGCGTGGAGATAGTACTAAAAATCTAAAACATACCCCAAATCAAGCAAATATTCATGAAATGTTAATTCAAATAATGCCGGTCATGATTTAAAAGTCGTTATGTTTCTAACCTGTTTCTGGTCAATTTTCTTATTTCGGGGGAGTATTTTTCGGAAAAACATCGATATTAGTATACACCCTCTCACAGGTTGCACGGCAAACCGCTGCACAATACAAGTGCATACCGATGGAGGGTTGCGGGGGCACGTAAGTCTGTGTGTCTTGTGAAGTTATCTACCTCCTCATTATACAGTAGATAACTTCACACAGGCATGCGCCCGCCCGCAACCACCATCAGTATGCACTTGTAATGTGCAGTGGTTTGCAGTGAAACCTGTGAGAAAGTGGACTACCGGCCCAGGCCCAGATGTCTGGAAATTGAGCATTGCGTGTCGATGCGTAGAGGAATAAAGCAATGTCTTGTGTCACAGTCACATACATGTAACTTTAAACAAGTCATTTCTATAGTCTTTAGACAGCAAATTTATCTTATAGGCTACCGTATACATGCAGAAATCTTTATCTGGAAATAATAGACCCGTAAATGGTAAACAAAATTCTTTCCCCACAGGCTGTTCAAAGAAGTTTGTAGTATATGTGTTGCACATGCATACATTTATCAACCATTCATTTTGTTTTAACTTTATTTATTTTCTCATTAATTGTAGGCATCCTTTGTTAACATATCTCGTCAAAGCAGTGGATTCAAAGCACATTGTGGCCTCAGTATATTGATGTGAAACCATGCAGAAAATGCTACTCTCTCGAAACCTTGTGGATGTTCCCTAAGGATCAGCAGCCTCTTGAAACAGTTGAAGCCATTATCGGTAAATAAATGTGTACATGTAATTGTATGATTTTTGTACATTTATTTGTCATATTATGCATGATCACTGACAGACACTGAGACTCTGACTAATTAGACACTACAGAATGGATCATTTCATTTGAAAAGCTTATTTGTCCTAATTTTCAATTATATATTTTATAATTCAATTAATTTTAGATCACTAAAACCTGCAGGTATGTTGCAATAACCGACAATATTTTGTGAGTTTGAAACAGTGTTTTTTTACCCTTCAGCATAGGTCAAGGAGCTTTCATTCAACCCTCTTCAGCAAACTACAGGAATGCCAGTTTTCAGGCAATAGCCTGAATTCAGGCCCTGGCGAGTTATTTTCATACCATAGTTTAGGTTTTTTGTGTACAAGCTAGCTCATTCATTCTAGGTGATTTTTCAGGCCCTCTGATCAATTCTAACTGGCATCCCTGAAACTAGAATTGTATTGATAATTTACCAAACAAAATCGTGAATCACGTTTTGCATTGCCCACAAATGTTTAAAATCCAAAGGTGTGTTGACTTTATGTTTGTGAGCAATAAGAAATTATTTCTGATAAATCTTACCAAGCAGTGCTTTTCTAAAAGAATTCATTGTTTACATTCCAGTTTTAAAATATGTGAAAGTTTTTCTTAAATTGTATTCCTTTCTTTTTGCTTTATTCATGCATTAGAATTCCTTGCGTCTATGTTCCCTGGATCTGAAAGCAGTGCATAATGCAGGAGATTCTACCCAAAAGCTAACCCACTGAGCAGCGCCAGATTGACGTTGCTCTATCCCTTATTGTTGAACGCCAAACAAGGTAGCAGCAACTCCCGTCTTTTAACGTCTTTTGGTATGACGCGGCCCGGGCTCGAACCCACGACCTCCCGGTTGTGAGGTGGACGCTCTACTGACTGAGCCAACAAACCGGTCTAAGTTGGTAATAGAGAAAATTGAGTGAGGTAAATGCAATACAATTCGATTCCATTATTAAGCAATTAAGACTTGAAGTTCGTGAACCTCCAACAAATTTAAAAAATGATGCAGTTTGGTTTTATGTGTAAAGTGAATGGAAACAAAGGACCTACCGGTATGTGTCTTTGTATGTTTTGGACTGCGCGTATTCAGTGAGCTCTTTTTGATAATATACACTATGTAAAGCATATTGAACTCTATGTCAACATAAAAAACTATGTGATTTTGACTGTTTTGCAGCAATCATGTCTGAACGAGCCTTAAAGTGACTTGGTAACATTGTTCAGATGAGAGAAAATGGTGCTATTAAAGGTATTGCCTTCAATGCTATATGTACACTTAAAAATAATCTGAAAGTTTGAGTGAAAAAAGACCATTATTGATGATAAAAATTGAAAACAAAATTTCTGATCTGATCGATTCCTTAATTCTGCCAACTATATTATTATAATTTAATTAAATTTTAGGTGAATGTAAATCGTCACAAAGCAAAGAATTGGCTCTTATATTTTAGAGTTTTAAAGGCCTGTTTTATATCTTATTTTCAGGGAAAAACGGTTGGGAAAAATTCAAAAATATGTTGGGAGAATTAAGTGTTAAAGAGTGACACACAGTGGCGCCTTCAAAGAAAACCATAAATATCTTTGTGGTTTGAGAATTTTTTGGTAATTAAAAGTATACAATTCTTGGATTGTATCTGTGATTTTGAAAGCACAATATGGCTTACCTATATTGAATTTGCTGTAAAAATTTAAGTTAAATTTTATTTTTTTGTGAAACTCCCCCCAGGAGTATAAACTTGCCAAATGAATGTTGTGACATTAGCAATGGAATATATCTCTTTGTGCTAAACTTTTTAAGCATGTTTGCTATTTTATCTTAAACTTGGAAATATCTTCCGAATAATTATTGCACAGTCACCTTGAAATTGCCCAACAGAGCCAATCGTACTGGCGGGAATGTTTTTTGATAGAAATTGTATTTTTATACTTGAACTTCAGCTTCTGTATTTGCAACAAAATGTTTTTTGATGATATTTATAAGTATGAATGTTGCCACTAATGCCTTTTTTGTGTTTAAGTCATGTGCCAGTAAGAAGCAGGTTTCTAGCACAGAGAATAGGTATAGTTGAGCTGATTTCTGCACAGTTTTCCAATATGCTGTATCGCCAAATGTGAACATCGTGGTTTCAACAGGCAAGCAACCATCATCAGAAAACTCTGCAGGTATCAGTCAAGCTCTCCCTGTTCCCCTTGCTGTCAACTTGTTCCTTTTGAGTGTAAGAAATAACTTAGCTAAGCCATGTGTTTATCATTTGTGCCATTTTTCTCTTGTGTGTGATTTAGATTGTATAGTTTTATACTTTATACTGAATTCTTGCCATAAAATTAGATATTCCCCTTGTAATTTTTTGATCTTTCATGTTCAGGAATTGTTTCCAACAACCTTTTGTTTTATGTGATAGTCTTTATCTGCACTAAAGTCTTGGGGTGGTTGTGAGGAGCAGTTTTGCAGCGTGGAGACGAGGTAGAGCTGCACTGATGAATGCCCAGCTTTCCACTATGCTGTTTTGCTGAATATGAGGAACTTCCCCAGTCTGCTGTTTGCTTGTCTTCTAAACAACTGCGGGTATCAGTGTAGCTTTACCTAGTCTCCATGCTGCTAACCTGCTTCTCACAACCGCAAGACTTATAAGTTAAGCCAATTCATGTTTTAGTTTCTTGTAACAGAATGAAATCTGAAATGAAGCAGCACAATTTATAACAACACAAATATCTTTGTGATGGCCTGTTAACTTTCTTAAAATCAATTATGAGACTGACAGAAATACACTAGGTATTTATACAGCATGTTTTGGAAGAAGTGTCAGGATGGTGATGGAAAGATTCTGTATGTATAGAAGACAAGTTAGATAGAAGAAGAAGGTATACAAATAAGTATTCTATATTTTTGTTATCCATTTTCATACCATATACATGTACATTAAAAATATCAAAATTACTTTCTGTCTGGCATGTCTATATATTATGTGATGCAATATTTGTTGCTTTGTTTTTACTGTGTGAATGTTTAAAATGTGTTCATGAAGTGACTTTTACACTTTCTTCCTTGATCAGGTGGTCATATAGGTGTCATTTAGAGGACAAAAAAGACGTAAAGATCATGTAAGGATAAAAGGTACATCGAAATGACCAGTAAGATGTAAATATCACGTCAAAATTTGATGTCCATACAACGTATACACGACGTCTGGACGACGTCTTTCTTGGACTAATAAGACGTAAATATAACGTCAAATTACGACGTCTATACTACAAAATATGACGTCCATATGACGTCTTCACGATGTCTTCCATGGTACAAGTTGACGTCTTAAAGACGTCTTTCTTTAACTAATAAGACGTAAAAATCGCGTCAAAATATGACGTCCTCACGACGACGTACGCGGGTGCAAAATCATGTCTTTTTGACGTCGTGTTATGTCGTCTTAAAGACGTCTTTCTTTAACTATAAGACGTAAATATGACGTCCATATGACGTCTTCCTATGGTACAAGTTGACGTCTTAAAGACGTCTTTCTTTGACTAGTAAGACGTAAATATGACGTCCATACGACGTCTTCCTAAGGTACAAGTTGACGTCTTAAAGATGTCTTTCTTTGAATAATAAGACGTAAAAATCACGTCAAAATATGACGTCCTCATGACGACGTACGCGGGTGCAAAATCGTGTCTTTTTGACGTCGTCTTATGTCGTCTTAAAGACGTCTTTCTTTAACTATAAGACGTAAATATGACGTCCATATGACGTCTTCCTATGGTACAAGTTGACGTCTTAAAGACGTCTTTCTTTGACTAGTAAGACGTAAATATGACGTCCATTCGACGTCTTCCTAAGGTACAAGTTGACGTCTTAAAGACGTCTTTCTTTGAATAATAAGACGTAAAAATCACGTCAAAATATGACGTCCTCATGACGACGTGCGCGGGTGCAAAATCATGTCTTTTTGACGTCGTGTTATGTCGTCTTAAAGACGTAGTACAAGACGTAAATATCACGTGATATTTACCAGTCTCTGCTATCAGGGTAGGCCTACTACAAACTTCTTTGTACGGCCTGCGGGGGAGGAATTTTGTTTACCATTTACGGGTCTAGCTGTTTATTTCCAGATGAGGGCTTCTGTTTATATTGTGCGAAACTGCGAACACACCATAAAGTGATTAAAGCCCCCTTCCCCGCTTGTCTTGAAATTAGGGTGCGTTGCAGAAACGGAGTACCGCCTTAACGCACTCTTTCGGGATAAGCGCGGGGGGGGGGGGGGGGGCTTGTCTGATTATCAAGATATTTATGATTGGAATTCAAAATTTCAAAAAACGTTTTCCCCAATGGTTTTATAACACTACAGTCTATTGGGGAAAATGAGTATGGTAAAACCGGTCACTCAAAAGTCAAAGATTTTTACTTTTTGAGGCACTTCATCAAGACTCAAGTTCATGATCACTTTAAAGCGCAATTTTGTTAGGGCTTCGATATTACACCATATCACTGACACTGATAATACGTAGGGCTATGCATCATAGATTTAACATTGTTAAACGATGCCTTTAAAGCCATGTGTAGGTGAATGCACAAACTTGCATCAAGATCTAACACAAAAATACATGGATGGGACAATACAATACATTTCTCATCTTTGCGGCAGGCGTTGAAAGCACTCCTAGTAGACACGATCATACATTAATTACTACGTTTCAAAACAGAAAACAGTTACTGCACATATTGCAAATAAATTAGGTAAATCTAAGACTTACCCATATTGAAGAATAGCAGGGGAAAACAAAGTAATAAAAAGATTTTGTCTCTCTGCTCTGGCTCCTGTAGCTGTTGAGGATAGGAATGGCTGTCTTGCTGTCTTGTGTGTGTGTCATAAGGCATGGCCTGGCTGGGTACACGCACACACTGCATGCATTGATTACATGTGCACACACACACAGTGCTAGTGTAGCCCAAAGGCGGCAGTCGCATTTTGGGGTTTTGGGGCTTGTATAGTCTTGATCAATATTGCAGACCTTACAGGGCATATGTCAAGATGTTGCACAATCTGTAAAATAAAACTATTAATATAATGACTAATGACATTTTAGAGTTTTTCATCCCTGTTTTGGGGTTTTTAAATAAATATAGTCAGACTGATTCAGAGGCGGCGCTAGATCTTACTGATTTCTATTTGTTTCAACTGGTTTTCAAACTTTGACATGGGCTCGATCTGCTGGTTTGTAAAGGTTTCTAAAGGTAATTGACTTAAGATTTGTACACCCATGTTCAAACCATTAGAATCTACTGGTTTCTATCGGATTCTAGTGGTCTTCAAAATCATTAGGCTCTACTGGTTTTGTAAAGGTGTCTAATGGTTTGACTTAAGATTTGTGCATCCATGTTCAAACCATTAGATCTTACTGGTTTTTATTGGTTTCTACTGGTCTTCAAACCATTACAGTCTACTGGTTTGTTAAGGTTTCTAATGGTTTGACTTAGGGTTTTTAGACCCATGTTAAAACCATTATATTCTTCTGGTTTCTATCGGACTCTAGTGGTCTGCAAAACCAGTAGGCTCTACTGGTTTTGTAAAGGTGTCTAATGGTTTGACTTAGGATTTTTACACCCATGTTAAAGCCATTAGATTCTTCTGGTTTCTATCGGATTCTAGTGGTCTTCAAAACCATTAGGCTCTACTGGTTTTGTAAAGGTGTCTAATGGTTTGACTTAGGATTTTTACACCCATGTTAAAACCATTAGATTCTCCTGGTTTCTATCGGATTCTAGTGGTCTTCAAAACCATTAGGCTCTACTGGTTTGTTAAGGTTTCTAATGGTTTGACTTAGGATTTTTACACCCATGTTAAAACCATTAGATTCTTCTGGTTTCTATCGGATTCTAGTGGACAGGTCTTCAAAACCATTAGGCTCTACTGGTTTTGTAAAGGTACGTGTCTAATGGTTTGACTTAGGATTTTTACACCCATGTTAAAACCATTAGATTCTTCTGGTTTCTATCGGATTCTAGTGGTCTTCAAAACCATTAGGCTCTACTGGTTTGTTAAGGTTTCTAATGGTTTGACTTAGGATTTTTACACCCATGTTAAAACCATTAGATTCTTCTGGTTTCTATCGGATTCTAGTGGTCTTCAAAACCATTAGGCTCTACTGGTTTTGTAAAGGTGTCTAATGGTTTGACTTATAGATTTGTGCATCCATTTTCAAACCATTAGATCTTACTGGTTTCTATTGGTTTCTTCTGGTCTTCAAACCATTAGGCTCTACTGGTTTGTTAAGGTTTCTAATGGTTTGACTTAGGATGTTTACACCCATGTTAAAACCATTAGATCCTACTGGTTTCTATCGGATTCTAGTGGTCTTCAAAACCATTAGGCTCTACTGGTTTGTAAAGGTGTCTAATGGTTTGACTTAAGATTTGTGCATCCATGTTCAAACCATTAGATCTTACTGGTTTCTACTGGTCTTTAAACCATGACAGTCTACTGGTTTGTAAAGGTTTATACTGGTTTTACTTCACAGTTCCTCCTGATCACCATTAGACTCTAATGGTTTCTTGAAAACCAGTAAAACCATTAGAATGTCTCTACTGGTTTCTACTGGTTTCTAAAGGAATTTCGACCTGGGTTCTTGTCTTGTATATAGTTTATGATTATTCCTTTATATTTCTATGTTATATGTCATATGAGTAGTCGAAGCATAGTAATAGTGCAATATTTATAGGTGAATCACATGCAGATTGCAGTATTGATTGATAAGCTCTTTTTCCTTAAACGATATTTACACCTGAGATTATGTATGTGTTGTGCGCTGGAGGAATACAACATATTTCTATGTTATTATTATTTATAAATCTGAGAGGATAATAGATTAGCGCGTTTAGATGAGATTGCCTAGGTACAATGAAGGTCTAATTTAGAGTTAGGGTATAACGAATCACCATCAGGGGCGTCTCCAAGAGGGGAGGGGGTGGGGTGCGACACCCCCCAACTGAAAGGAAAGAAAGGAAAAGAAAGGAAATCAAAGAGAAGAAAAAAGAGAAAAAAAGAAAAAGAGGGAGGAGAGGAAAGAAAAGAAAAGAAAGAAAAGGAAAAAAAGAAGAAAAAAGAAGAAAAAAGAAGAAAAAAGAAAAGAAACGGGGGATGAAAGAGAGGAGAAAGAGGGGAGGTAAGAGCCTGAGAGAGGAGGAGTCTCGTCAAGGGAGCAAGAGAGACACGGGTAAATGTTGCTGTGTCGGGTCAGCTGTGTCGGTATTCTTGCTCGATCCTCGTGTACTATATCAATGCAGAAGTTTGAAGTCGGTGAGATGTATATTTTCGGTCGGCCGACAAGTTTTTTTCCCTACGAACTGTGACTTTTTATCCGCTGTGACGACTTCGAGAGTGACTACAACTACTATACTTGTATTTTCTCGAAGTTTCACTTTCCTATAATATCAGCTAAAGAAATCAGAGGTTTGAAATTTTCGAGGAAACTGAATTCAAACAAGGTTTAAGAGTCAACAACGGTACGACGAACCGTACCGTCTTCCTTTCTCTATATTGTGATGAAACGCCAAAAATTCCGCCCTTCGCGCGGAAGGGGAAAACTTCATTTAGACGAGTCGAGAACGGTACAACGAATCGTCTTCTTTCTCTAATAATTTAAGGAAACGTCATAGCTTCCGCGCTTCGCGCGAGAGGGGGAAACTGAATTCAGATGAATAGGGCTTAACGCCAAAAATTCCGCCCTTCGCGCGGAAGGGGAAAACTTCATTTAGACGAGTCAAAAACGGTACGACGAATCATCTTCTTTTCTCTATATTGTGATGGAACGCCAAAAAATCCGCCCTTCGCGCGGAAGGGGAAAACTTCATTCAGATAAAGATTAAGAGTCGAGAACAGTACACCGAATCGTCAGCTTTTTCTCATAACTTAATGAAACGTCAAAGCTTCCGCGCTTCGCGCGGAAGGAAACCGAATTCAGAC